ATACAAATTTCCGTCAGCTGTGGTAAGACCAACGCTACGCCCTAACTTTTTGCGCAATCCTCTTAGTACCGTTTACTTTACAAACCAGCGTTCTCATGGGGCGGGCACGGCTCAATTTTACGTGGACTGTACATGCAGAGAATAGCGCAGTCAGTTAGCCCACCATGTTCTCCGTTTTCCCTTGGTCTTACCACAAGGCACCAGGTCATTACCGTTGCGGACTCCAACAGGATCTGATACCCTCTTCACAACGAGTCCAGTAAATATGCACTTTTGGTAACTTTTAATGCCATGGAAGAAGATCGTGGAGTACGAACCCGTAAAGACTCAAAAGCTCCGAATCAGATAGCGCATTCGATCAGAGACGTCTATCACACGTTATAGGCACTAAAGCGGAGCTTTGGATACTGGGCTGCTGAGATATCTCACAGGCTTGCATCAGCCCTCGCGAGACCGCGTTTGTTGTTTCACATATATACATTCTTCTCTTTGTTTGAAGCAAAACGCTTTTTGTGGATAGAATACAGAGGCTATCTATCTTAAATGAACAAGAACCAAGTGGCTTCAGCTAGTTCGAAAATTGCATTTAGATGAAAGTGTGCACCTGATTTTCGTATTGGGTGTTCGCAACAAGCTTCATCCCGGATTAGATTTGGCTGTTACCCTGGCAACTTAGGCAAAGGCGCCGTATCCAGAGGGGCTCTGAGGAAACCTCCTTGGTACATTTTGAACATCGGCGATACATAAACCCGAAATCGGAAGCCAATCAGTCCCAAATGATAGCCCAGGTGCAACGGATCCAACCTGGACCTAAATGGGAGCCAAATATGAACTTAAAACATCGTCATCATCATCATTCACAGCATGACATCGATATTCAAAACTATTTATTTGCTGCCGTAAAACCACAATTTATTTGAAAGCTTTATTGTGAGGACAAGAACAAATGTGGATAGGGAGGGGCTTAGTGGAGGGTCTTAACCTCCAACTTAACCTCCAATTCAGGCAATCTGCATAGAAAAAGACAGCAGAAACGGGTCAGTGTGTCAACCGGAACAGACCGGTCAACCGAGCCCAATGCGCCTAGGAAATCGAGGAATACCAAAATTGTGAATCGTATGGTGTTGCTCTAAACCTAACGGAGTGCAACGCTTTCCTTATCAGTGCGGAATCACGCTTGCGGATCTTAAGTCAGTGTTTCACGAGCCCCCGAAAGGCGAAGAAACAAAACTGACGATAAAATCTCCTTACAGTCTGGGTCAAACTGCCGTCTCTGTGGTTGAAACACTCACAATGAGCCTATTCCTGAAAAAAGCACTAGCACTGACCCCATTTAACTGTATACGACAATCTTTTTTCTCGAAATGCAGTCAATCATACCTGACAAGCGTTGACTGCGGATTTAACCCCCACATTTTGACAGGCAGGGTGAGAGTTCATTCGGACCGATTGAGGCATTTTTAACTATGCAAGATCCTCACCATCTTCTTATTCTTGATGGTTTCGCTCACAGGAGGTTTTCAAGGACCAGTTGTAAGGACCAACCAAAATAATCTGAGCCTTCCCGACTTTCTAGGCCTCTTCCATTTTCGAGACTTTTCGTGTTCACTAGCCTTCACAGTCAGCTCGCGCAATCACTTTCACTTGATTTCTGGTAGTTCATTGCGTTAAGTCTGTTCGGGACCGGCTGTAATATTTCTTAGAAATTCCGTCAGTGACAATGTTTGGTATGATATTTAGTACTTAGTTGCATCTGGCAGTGCTGTGCCACAGTCAAAACTTCCAGCGCGATGCAAAGAGGTGGCGATCTGAGTTCATATCTGATGGTGGGGCATTTGGTAGACACTAAAAACGACTCTGGTATATTAGTCTAACATCCGGATCTTTCGGTATCTCAGTTGCCAGGCAATTTGTCCACACCTTATTCGGCCCTGATAGATGAAAGGAGAAACAACTCTTGATGAGTGCGTGGCAGGAATCCACAAATGTGTTCCAAAACGAGCAGTGGCCAGTTATTGATCCGTACCATCGGCAATTAATGACAATATGATCAATCTGATTACGTTGTAGGCACGCAGCTGTAGGGTATTATGTGGCCAGACAACCTCAGCTATTTCGAAAGTGCGGTTAGAAAAAAGCTGGAGCGATCAATTCAGTTCACCGTACATAGTGATTCCAGTCCATGTCGACCACGTAATTGAGTCCTAGGGGCGCTAGGTACGTTTAAATCCCCAGCAATAACCACCGTATATTGGCTTTTAGCTAGACGAAGCAGTGCCTTAAATGCGTCATAAAACTTGTATATGATGGCATAGGAGCTACGTCAGGTGCAGAGTAAGCAGACACGACAATCGAGTACCGATCAACGCCCCCTTGTGAGACTTCTTCACAGACATTTTGAAACAAACCTCGCAGAGGCGACTATCAAAGGCTATCTAATAAGGCTAAGAGCCTTCCGCACAATAACCTAGGACAACACCGCTACATATGAATCCTTTGCGATAGCCTCTGGATCGCCTGTAGTGCGTATCTGTAAGCTAGTGAACAGTAGTGAGGAGGTTAGCTCAATCACTGTGCTTGCATCTTGAATTATTATTTCTGATACACAGCACATATTGTTGCCAAAGGCATCCAGTGTGGAATGCAAGAAAAACTTGTTGTCCTGCTTGTTTCAGAGTGCGGAAATTGAAGGTGGCCAGAGAGACTGGGCGTCGGGGCTTGTATATAAATTTCGAGATGCCCGAGGATATCGGCACAGGATGACTCACAGATGTTGCTTGCAAAACAGATGCAGGAAGAACTGGTTTATCAGTCGTAACTGCTTGACCTACGAAGAGCGAGTTGTTGATGGGTAGAGGGGGACAAAAAGTATGTAAAAGAGAAAATGGGGAGGCGTCAGCCTCAACCTGATTTTGCTTACCTGCCCTATTGCTGGCAGCAAGTAAGACGACTTAGCTGATGGCATCACGCGACGGCGGATGTGACATAAGTTTATTCGTATGTGCGCTATTCACTGTTGTACGTGGGTTCGGATATTGTCAGGGCACCCAAATCTAGATAGAAGTACAATTAACATCATCAACTAAAGCCCTTAGCACAAAAGCCCAGCCACAATACAGTGGTGTTTGGTGGGAAATGTAAATGCATTACCATCTTCACGGGACAAGTCGCCACATGTTCCAACCCCACAAACTGGAGGACCAGGAGATCCTGTCTGTCACGTCCAACGACTGTCCCAACTGGTGTAAGATATTACGAGTTTCTTGCGGACATCCTCGGCGTATAATAATGGGTCGCCAAGTTATACAAACTGTCACAACACAACAAGCTCCAGTCTCTTGATGATGGACCCAACACTCGGCAAAAATAGTTGGTGCCGGCGTTGGCAAAGCCATTCGCGGTTGATAATGCTCTGCTTTAAGGGTTGGGGCTTAATGAAAATGGGATGGCACTGACGTCGACAAAGATCGACAGAGTTTCAGCAACAGACATGAAGTGTCAGTAAACCTCGGCGCGGGTCGCCAGCACCTGAAGGCAAGTTCCACTTTGCCTATCAGTGTTCGTTTGGTCAATCACCAATAAGTTGACCACTCCACGCCGTGAGTTGTCAATATACTGTTTGCGTCGAACGGTTTTCATCCAGCAAAAGATGCATTTTGCTGGTTGATGACCACCCGGCAACTTCTACGGGGCCATGTCGGATAAAACTTGACCAAAACAGAAATGGTCAACGAAAGGCAAAACAGTTGTCAATATTAGCCAGTCTTAGTTTGTCCTTCAATATAATTGAATCTCAAACATCACCATCCGCGACCCTTCTTTCGTTTCAACACACGCAACACGGCTTTCTGGAGACATCTTTTGAAACCTAGCGAAGGCATGTAGGGTGCCTATGTTTCTGGGAGAGAACATGCAGAAACATGTGTTGCTTCTGATAAACAATCTCACCAATCTCTCCAAACAGGTATCATTCACCGGCTCATCAAATTTCTGATACCAACTTAAGGTTGAAGAGATGAGTCAGTCTTATTGGCTTAGTTAAAGCCAATCCGGTAAAGGAGTAACCAGTGGCGACCGTGAAAGTTTGGAAGGCGTTTTGGTGGCAAGGTTTGCCCGTGGAAACCTTCGTCAATTACGGCCATCGTATGGTCCTACTGCGCTCAGCATATGAAAAGGAAAAACTAGCTTCATGTAAAGAGACTAATGATGTTCAGTAATCAGATATAGTTTCTAATTCATTTTCAGCAATTCTTACCTCTGTTAGCCACCATCAGTTTCTTTATTTTCCGCCGGTTATGTGACGAAATGGAAGTGTTTGTGCGAACGCATATATAATTTGGTTCCAATATCCGCTGCCATCTTCGAATAGACGGAATGATCCGCCTTGCTCTGAATAGACCACAACTCATCACACACGAAAACACAAAATATACTCAATTTGGCGCCACTAAAGGACTAGGTCATTGGTGGGAAATAGTGCGTTCAAACATATACAAAGCTGTATTCTGTGTGCCTCTTTAATGCGTTCGTCATAGGTTTTCTCGGAATTTTGTTTAAAAGTTTGGATGATTTAAACTGCAGCGGACGAAGTTGACATAGCTGTGCTTCACCCAGTTTTCAAAGGCTCTCATTCCCACTCCGCAGATAGCCATGGCCTATCTGCTTAAACAAAGCCGAGGCTCTCATTATGCCGCCTTGGTTCGTTCCTTGCTGTCGTGAAGCGGCAGCATCTGAGGCATAACCGAAAAAACTGTAACATCGCCCTTTAATTTCTCGGTGGTTGGCAGCTTCCCAGCGCGATAGTTAACACAAAAACCAACCCAATGTAGATTGAATTGGGTTCTAGATGCAGCGTGCACAACCGCCAGAGGAAGGTTAATCCAGGTGCCGAATACCATAAATGAGAAACGTTTTCCTTGAAATGCTTGTAACGTATGAGTTGTGTTAAAGATGAAATATCTGTCCGCCAAACATTATTCAAAAAGAGTATTAGTAGATACTAGGTCCCAACAAATTGCCTGGCAGATCGTTGGACGGACTCAGGGAGGAGTGCGTCCTACTAGCCTCCTGACTGTACAGATTGTAGTGTCTGTAATCCGTTGTCACATTTACCATTCTTCCTGAACTTAAGCCACACTTTGTAACTGTCGTTCACATTGTACCATGAAGTTTGTTTTAATGTTACGAATACACATTTTTCCGGTGCGACCTGCTGACTTCTTGCTGAACGAGTGTATTTACGCTCCGTTGAACTGTTTGTTGAGTGCTGAACCAGTGGGAATAAATCTCTGTGTTTGTGTCAACTGTTGAACGTCAGCATAAATCCCTGTAACAGTTTTTAGCCGTGAATAATTTTCCTACCATGGAATATATCACTCACGCGGAACCATCTGTGGGAATTTCCGACAAGTGAATAATTCCTTTCACAGCCAGTTACTGCATTTGGATCGGTGTAGTGGACTATTGGACCTACACATTCGTGAGTCCTCATTTGACTACTCATTCCTTTCCTATTGTGATTTTGTGATTTCGTACTGGTTACTTTGTTTGTTAATTTATCCGAACACGCTGATAAGGTCCTAGTCCGCTACAAGCTTGACTGGAATATTCAAGAAGTCTGGCGAGGCCTCATAGACAATCAAGGAATCCATGCAATTCATACGGTGGAATGTGAGCTGAACGGTGAACACTTTTACAGTTGAAGGCAATGCTTGAGGAGTGTCAGGTATCTCAGTCTTTTTTGCTATGTAGCTTGATATTATTTTCTGGTCCATATTCACTGTGCGTAAAGATGACTTTGTCTGTTTCCTCCGAGCGACTCTTCTTCAGTTGGAGGAAGATGCCAAATCAGCGACTGCTACTTTGCGGCATCAGAATCAAGCTGGAGGGCGCTGGGATTGGAAATCCAAGACATAAAGTCAAAAAAAGCAGGCCTGTGCTAGAAAGCCCACGTGGAATTTCGCTAACATAGCTCGAACCAGCAGTGGTAGACATAAAGTCAAAAAAAGCAGGCCTGTGCTAGAAAGCCCACGTGGAATTTCGCTAACATAGCTCGAACACAGCAGTGGTTCGGATCATGGAAGAACTCTAACAGAGGTCAGTGCTGAGAAAGAGTAAGTCGTGCTTACTTTCACTCAGAATGTTCCACCTGATTGCGGCCTTGATGTAGCGTGGAATTTCTCCCTGAATCCCTTCAAATCCGAATTTTTGAGGCAGTGGAGCCTCTGAGACCCAACTTAATGCTTTTGGGAACTCTAAAAAATATGGCATCTGAAATTAGTTCCTCGTCGTCGGCGTGGTTTGTACTTTCCACTAACACGAGCATGTCATTCACGCAAGGGCGGCTTGAGATTAATCCTTCTTGAACTAGAGATATGAAGTTTTTGGTAAAGTTCAGTTAAGATGACCCGATTAAGCCACCGGGCCAGTTTTGTAGATTGGCGTGACAATTGCTTCTAAGAAGGGAAAAGGTTGCCCCCGTTGAGATTGACACTTGAATACTTGGCTGGACTCCATCTGGCCCCAGCGCGCTGGAGGAATTTGTCTTTCACAGGAGTTGACGAATGTCCTCCTTGGCGAAAAGCACGTTGTTTAGAGGCCGTTTGTAGTTACATCTTGCCTGGTTCAGGTGATGAGGTCGTTCCATGGGTTTCTTATACCACCATTAGGTCTCTTGTGAGTTCCCCTTTTCTGTCTCCCAAGGAGGAAGAGGCGCTGTTGCTTCGACGATGTTTCTTATACTTAAATGATGGATTTTCGCTTTACCGGGCATATATCTCTATGTTTCATTGGCGAATCTGTGATATACAGCGGTTCCGTATCCTGAGAAATTCCACCCCATTTCCTGTGTTTCATGTGGTTACCTTTTTCAGCAGTGGCTTTTAATTTGTTTCCACAAAGTACTGAAAATGTCTGGGTAGATTTGGCCAGTTGGACTCCACGCGATTCTCTAGAAAATTATCCTCCGTCTCCTGTGCCAAGGCTAGTCTCAGTCTAAGGTAATGGAGGATGACACATATCACTAGGAAGTAAGCAGAAGTACGGCAGAAATTTCGAACCCTCATTTGAGGTTCCGGGTCGCCAGCCCGTTAGCGGATGTAAACAAAGTTCAACACACAGTGGTCAATGCGTATCAGTACAGCCTTTGCTAACATTTAATCGACGAAGTGTACTTCTTTGGTGAGGAAGTGGTATCCGAAAGAGCAACGCTCAGTGGTTTGTATGAGGGACATGTCACCCTCCAAAGGACAAGAGAAATGGCAGATGGCGCTGAGGAGTCATAAATGACCTGCATGAGGATGTTTCCTTTAAGTGTGATTACGGACATTTGCTCAGAGCAAGCAGACTGCTGAATACTGAGCTCGTTTCACGGATTCACGGATTGATACATAGGATCGAGGCTTCTGCCCAAGTTTCCCTTGTCGGTTTCGTTCTTGTCAGTCAGTGGCTATCGTTCACCTGAAAGGCACAAGTAAAAAAGTGTGTAGCACTGCTCTTCATGTTTTCAGCTCGGGGCAGGATGTCTGTCAGCGCGGGGAGTCGCATAAATAAATGTCTAATAGTGCTTTAAACTGGGTTCTAGAAGGAACGTGGACAACCGTCGGAGGAAGGGCATTCCACGCAGCTACTTTTTGAAATGAGAAAAAAATTTGTCTAATGAATGTGTGGTATCTGAGCTTGAAAATTTTCTTACTATGTCCCCGCCGTGTGTTTGCTGGGTCAACGGTGAAAAACCTGTTAATCAAGCTTTGTTCAAACAGGGCATAAGTAAGAATTAGCTCCCCTCGGAGGCGACGGTACTCCAGGGGAAGGAGATCAAGCATCGCGGGACGCGTTTCGCAGTCCGCGGATTTGAAGCCGGCAGCCATTTTCGTAGCGACTCATTAGGCACGCTCAATAAGGGTGACTTCTTTCGTGAGTCCCGAGTAAACAGTTTGGTTGGCATATTCAAGAAGCGATCTGATGTAGGCCCCATATAGAATTTGGAAGTCCACGCGAGCAATACGGAAGAAGGTGCGCCGAATCATCCGTAAAACGGTGAATGCCTTTTGAGCCAATTTTTCATCGTGCAGTGAGGAGGACAAGTTTGAAGAGACCCAGATGACCAAATCCTTTTTGGAATCTATCCTCATGATATTTTTGATCCCTTCTCACCATGCATGACAAAGGCCTTCGCTGAGTCCCTCCAAATGATATACGGACGCACCTTTGTTGTAGCCCCACGACCACTGCTTTGCGGCGTCTACATCCATTAGGAGGACAACTGCTTGGAACTCCAGGATTTAAAGTCGTCCGCAGAAAGGAGACATCGACTGGCTAGAAGAACTGGAAGGTCGTTGACCT